ACAAAGACGAAGTGTACCATCCTTCTTCTTAACAAACAAGACGGGTGCTCCCCAAGGTGAAGTGCTCAGCCTAATAAAACCCTTATCTAGCAACTCTTGTAGTTGAAGTTTCAATTCCTTAAGCTCAATGGGGGCCATCCTATAGGGTGTTTTAGAGATGGGCTGGGTTCCTGACATGATGTCAACAGTAAACTCTACCTCTCTATCAACTAAGTGACCCGGCAAATCATTTGGAAAGACGTCGGGGAACTCATTAACAACGGGGACGTCGGCTAACTCAACACTTCCATTCAAATTACTTAGTACACTACACAAATAACCTTGACACCCTTTTTGGATCAACCTATAGGCTTTTATGGATGAAATTAAGTAAAGTGGGGATACTACTCCTCTACCCTGAAACGTGACCTCGGCTAGGTTTGGGGGTTTTAACGTGACACTTTTGGAAACACAATTTATGGATGCATGATTTGCCACTAACCAATCCATCCCCAATATAACATCAAAATGAGTTATGTCCAATGACATTAAATCAGCTAACAATTCAACATTCCCAATCACAACAACACATGCTCGATAGATGGATGCAACATTCATAGATCTCCCAGATGGAGTAGATACAGATAACACATAACCAAGGGGTTCTAGTTTCCTAGTAATCTTCTCGGCAAACTTAGCAGAAACGAATGAATGCGTAGAACCCGAATCAATCAATATATATGCATTTTGAGAGCAAATTGGGAGTATACCTGACACCGCTGTCTCAGCATTCTGAGTGTCTCTTGGTACTAGTGCAAAAACTCTGCCTTGCCTCATCTGTCCTTTCCCAACTTTACTTTTCTGTACGGAACCCGAGGTATTCTCATCCTTCTTACTATCGTCAGCCTTTGTTTTAGGATAGTCCCTCACATAATGGCCTATTTCACCACACTCATAATAAGCTCCAGACGCCCGACGACAGACCCCGAAATGTGGCTTTCCACAACTAGAACATGTCGGCTTAGTACCACTTTCCTGCCTTGGGTTGCTCGAACTGCCAACATTCGCTTTCTTCTTGGTACCAAATTGTGCTCGGCGTTTGTCATAATTCTGTCTCTTCCTCTGGCTTTCTCCTGAGTTCTGGTATCTGTTCAAGTTAGCTTCGGCCATAATGGCTTTGTCCAATACTCCGGCGTAAGTCGGCATGTTGAGCATGTTAACCCGGTCTTGTATCGGTCCACGAAGCCCATTTTCAAACTTCCTAGCCTTCATATATTCATCATTGACCATGTGGGGTGCATACCTCGCCAACTCGGTAAAGGCACGGTCATATTCAGCTACTGTTCTATTGCCTTGTGTCAAAGTCTGAAATTCGGTAGTCTTGCGATCTCGAACGCTTAGGGGAAAGTGCTTGGTGTAAAACAACTCCAGAAATAGGGTCCAGGTCAAGTCTGGATTGCCTTCTCGAACCATCATCCACCATCTGTGAGCGTCGTCATCTAGTGTAAAGGCTGCTAATGTCACCTTCTAGGTGTCGGTGCTGGGAAAGATCTCGAACAACTTCTTCATTTTCAAAACCCACGCTTCGGCTTTCATCGGCTCTATACCCCCTTGGAATCTCAGTGGCTTCATTTTCTTGAACTCTCTGATCAAAGCTATCGTGCCGTCCCCATATAAAGCTGGCTGTGAGGGCACTTGTGGTACTGGAGGAGGTGGAGGTGGAACTGCATTTCAGCCGTTTGTCTGCTCGGCCTGAGTCGATGTAGCACTAGCGTACTGCTGTCTTGTCTGCCTTAACTCGCGGGCCAAACCTTCAACTAACCTTTCCAGTCTGTCTAATCTGTCCTCGGACTGATCTCGCCAACTGGAGGTCTACCTCTCCTCATGATGCTATGAGTATGCAAAATGTGACTTTAAAACAAAACGAACAAATAAACACGTAGGCAAGTAACAATTAAGCATGCCGAGACGATGCACACCTTGTTCACATAGCAAGCAATATGATGCAATCCTAACATCTTTCTAAGGGGAAATCTTATGCTCTTTAGGACTCAAAGTGTGTGAATAACGTATACTAGGGAACTTGTGCTCTGATACCATTCTGTCATGACCCCAAACCGCCCCTAGTAGGATGGTGCCGTGATGGCCAGTAATCCAAGATTACCGAAGGCCAATTTTCAAAATCCACACACAACAGAGTATAAACATATGGGGCTCACAAGTACGGAAGCAATACATACAAATCAGATTAGTCCATGAGAGCTGTGCGTAAGTCAAATGAAATGACAAACATCTTCACATGGGTTACAACTTAGTATAAATGAAGCAAAGTACTTATTACATCTTGATCAAAAGGCTCAAGCCGACGTGTGCAAAATACAAGTATCACAAGTCGAGAAGCATGATTTTCAAGACTGCCGACGTAAATACAAGTCAAACCGACAAAATCAAAAAAATCCAAAACAAGCTCGTGAATCACATCTAGGCGTCATCGCCTTCTTACTCATCACCTACATATATATAGTGAGGGTGAGCTTGGATACTCAGTGAATGATATAAATAATAAAGGGCTTGCATGAATAATAACCGAAGTCTTTTCAAAACAAAACATATCAAACTTTACATAACAAGGGATGAACCACGTTCATCTAACAAATCTTCAAGCTTCAAGGGATGCTTACTAGCATCAACATATTATAAATGATGACATTCCGGACAAACAAACCCACGCGGTAAACCGTCAGTGGCAAAACAAGACAAAGCAAGGGAGATATCTCAAACAATGGTGCGGTTGCATTATAGTCCCCTGGCACTAAGGACTTTCCGAGAATGTCATCAAAACAAGATAATGCTTAATATACAAAATAGGGACAATCATTCATGTTTAACAAATACTTTTCAAAACAAAGCAAAGCAAGGCTCATCAAAACATTAATAACATAGCTTTATTAAAAATACCACTCACTTAGTTCTTCAACGTCGGGGTCAAGGCAAAAGTCCGAGTCCTACAAACACATGACAAAGTCTATTGAACGTACTTTCAAACAAGATTCGCATGCAAACGGATGATCTCAGCATTCATCAAAACTAAGTTAAATCAAAACAAAACACTGTTTCTCATCTCGGGAGAACGTGCTGGGCACCAACCAGGTCTTGGCCGAGGACCCACACCATCTCGCCGAGGTGCGGTCTCGACGGCCACACACAAAAGCGAAGTCGGGAAAATCTGGGTTTCCCTTGGAGGAACATGAAGAACATGAAGATGGAGAAGATGAAGAACATGCGTGCTAAAATCATAACTTGTTATTACAAGGTCTGAGATTTCGTGCTATGAGTTTGAAAACATGGACCTGGGCACCCATATTCAAAGATCTTATGAGAACAAACACAAAAACATGGTTCTAGATGCAAATTTTTGGATCAAAACAAGACTTTTCTTCAAGAACACAAGAACACTATTTTCTCTTACTAAAACCGACTTTAAATCAATGCATGGCATGCAAAACAGATTCGATCGTGCAATACAGCTAAATGATCGATAGGAACAACAAGAGTAGATTAAGATTCTAACATCGAAACTAGGATCTAACGGTTCAAACTCCAACGATCAAGCTTGGGAGTCTACTCTCTCACTCAAAACTTCTCCTTCTCCTTCTCCTTCCTAGAGCCTCTCTCTAAAAGACAAGATTTGATACAAAATGATATGTTTTACTCTACAGTCACTGACTTAACCCTCTGCTGGGACACGTGGCATCGGCTGATTGGCTTTACTCAAAAAGGTGACTGACTGACAAGACAAGACCATGACAAAGTGTATCTAACAAGCTACCGGGTGAGGCACTCCGGCAAGTGATGACATCGGCTAAGGACAAAGCTTCGGCAAGTAGGGTGACAACGACATCGGCTTGGAAGAACAACACTTGACTAAGCTGTGCCACACCTTGGCCTAGATGTGCCACACCTCGGTCTAAGTTATACCATTCCAGGAACAAAATCACTAGGGTGCAAGGATAAATATCTCGGCCTTAGTGCTGCACACCTCGGCCTAGATAGCGACATCTCGGCAAATATGCTAGGGTGAAGATGGAGGTCAACCGAAGGGGTTCCAAGATAGTTCTAAGTGAAAAAGGATTCGAAGGTGACTAGGCTTAAGATGATCTCGGCAACACACCAGGCAAGAACAATATATGCAAGAAACACTCAAGTAAAACAAGACAAGATTTGCAGATGTAACACAACAAAACAAGATTATACATAAGTGTATGCAAGTATGACTAAGCTGAAGGGAGGGTTGTTATAAAATATTCTTTGGAAGGAAAATGTCATTTGGAAGACCACACTCGCGTTGGAGCCATCCATTAGACTGATTTGTTGCAATGCTCTGCAAAATCAGTCAGTGTTGCATGCAGTTGTATATTATATATTTCCTTTAACCATTGATCTAGAATAACAAAAATAAAGAAAATGAAATAAAAGTATTCTTTTCTTCTTTGTTTTTATTATTTTAGTGTTTTTGGCATTTCGCTTTGATTCGCTCACCCCAAATGGTTAAGACCAGGTTTTGTGAACTGAGTTTCCATTTCATGTTTATGTGGTTTAGATTAAATTTGAATAATATTATGTTTTGTTGTGATATGCCCCCTATTGCATATGATTTCTATGTCACACAGGCAGAGAGCAGTGCATTCTCCCTCATTTTTTTCCTTTAATTTTTAGTGGCATTTGTATAGTGACATTTTAAAGAGTGGGATTCATTTCTTACATTTCTCATTATCTGTAGGAGTCCTATTGCCTTTAGCACTCCTTGGGTACTTCTTGAGCCAGTCCCTCATGGTTTCATGCATTAAGCTTAGGAATATGTTTATTTGCTAATATGATGCCAGGTTATTGTTCACTAAACATTTTAAGTGGATTATGTGAGAATGCACTCTTATATTTACAGTTCCTGCATTAACCAGTTCAGAATTAGGTGATTTCTCTTTATACATTAAATTTCTACAATTTGCTAATATGATGCCAGGTTATTGTTCACTAAACATTTTAAGTGGATTATGTGAGAATGCACTCTTATATTTACAGTTCCTGCATTAACCAGTTCAGAATTAGGTGTAATTATAAGTCCTTAGCATCTTAATCTCTTATTTGTTGGTGTTTGAGGTGGAGCATAAAGTTGGGATAGTTGATTTGTTCTCTTTTCTTAATGTTATCATTGAAAAACTTTGTTTTGTTTCTTCAGTTGTATCATTTATCTTGTTCTAATAATGCTTCCATTGCATCCATGGCTTCCTCCTATGTGGCCCTGGTTTCTTGGATTTTTAATTTCTTAAAGAACACTAGTGATCATGAGACTAATGAATTAGTTTCCTTAATATCTATCCTTTCTGGTGTCTCATTGCGCCATGGATTGACAAGAGTATAGACTTTTCATTCATTTGGTTTATTTTATTGCAAATCTGTCATAAGATAATTAATGATCCAAGTATACCTTTTTTTGCTCTTCATGAGATGATTTGGGATGTTATTTTGCCTCTTAATGTTGAAAGTTTCTTGGACAATTACAAAAAAGCCCCCTAGAGTTGAACCCTTGTAACAAAATAAACCCTAGGTTTTTAATTTTATCAATTTAAACCCTAATCTTTTGATTTGCTTTCATTCTAAATCATTTGCTTATTTTTGTTAAGTAAAACCAACAAAAAAATAGTATTTTAGGCATTAAACTCAATGTAGGTATACATAAAATGTCTAAAATTGTAGAAAATGCAATGTATAAAAAGAAATAGAGAAATGTATTATTGATTGATGTATTGTAAAACATGACACGTGTCCGTGTTGTAGTGGCCATGAACCTAAGCACTGCGCGCTTGCACCCTCCTTTGCCCTTGGACTCATAGGGTACCTTAATGGTGTCTCTACCGGCAAAAGCCTCAACAATCATGGACCCTTCACAAGAGTTGCTAGCATCACCCACCGCAAAGAAGAGATCATAGGTCTTGCCAGGGATGGTCCGGGCCACTTGAGCAATGGCACTTTCTTTTCCTGCCACGAGCTCAATGGCACGCTTTCCCTGGGGGACAGAGAAGTGGTCAGAATCGAGGTATTTGACAGCTTTGAGGGATTCGACCATCCAACCGGGGAGGGGAGAGTGATCATCCTCTATGTTTGGGGGGATTAGGACTCCCCAAGATGTGTTGGGGAATATGTATGGTCCTTCTTCAAAACCCCCATTTTTCAGTATGTTCAACTTGGTTAATCTGGGAGGATAGAGAGCTCTGATTGCAACTGAATCAATAAGGGGTCCACAAGCTGGGTCCTCCGACACCCCAGGGTTATGAATAACAATCTCTGCCACCGGCACCTCTGCCTGAAACGCCCACGCGTACGAGTCCCACCCATTGCTGCTATACAATGTTTGCATTGGCAAGACCCCAAAATCCGGTGCCACCGACACGTTCAGCGTCTCCTCCTGGGCACAAGTCCTGGCAGCGCTGAACGTCAGGGAATAGTACATTCCCTTGGTGACCGGCATCCTCTGCTTGATAGAGGCCTCGTTGCCAAGCCGGACCGCTGCGGCTCCCTCCGGCACCACCAGCAGCATGTCACCTTGCTTTTGGCCGGCTTTTATGTACTCAACGAAGCCGGAGGTTTCCCATTCTGGGATGGCGGTGTGCTTGAGGACTACTGTTCCATTTAGGTCAGATGGCTTTGGGGCAAGCTCATGTGATAAAGTGGCTGCTGGGGACTCCAGAAATAATATATTCGCAACTTTGTTCCAGGCATGCTTTCTTGGATAAAGGGTTTTACAGTCTGAATTTACACCAAAAAGTCTAATCTCTCCCATGGCTGATTTCTGATTTCTGTGGGTCAGTGGCTCCAATGAGCTTCCTGCCATATTTTATCACTCCTTCGCCTTCCCAGACCATTGCAATGACAGGGCCAGAACTTAAGGAAGTTGCACAGGCCATTAAAGAAAGGTCTTTCCTTGAGATCATGATAATGCTTTTGGGCAAAAGCCTTTGAAGGAACAACTATTTTAATCGCCACAAGCTTAAAACCTTTTCGCTCAAAACGCGATATGATTTCTGCAATCAGCCCTCTCTGAACACCATCGGGCTTGATAGCAATGAAAGTGCGCTCCATCTCTGCAGCATGCGCCTCCTGCTCCTGAAGCATGTAGGCTGCAGCAGGAAGGGCAAGCGCCCCAGACATCCATCCTCGGGACGTATTTCCAGAATCGGTCCTCCCGTATGAAGCTAAATAAGGCACCTTTCCTCTTAATAAAACTGTCGCAGCACTAGCTACAGCTCGACTTTCAGAAAAGACATGAGAGGTCTGCTTAGAAGCAGAGAGTAGAGACCTGGCAGCTCGGGAAGCAGATCTGCATACCTGAGAGCTCATCGTTGCAGACATGGTGTTCGACGAAATGTCCCAGAGGGATTTTGGGTTTGCTTCGGCGAGGTGGTGAAGAAGAGTGAAGGTATGTGTAGAAAATTCTAGCAGACTAGGTTGAGGTCCGGCGGACGGCCAAGGTGAGGTTGCCGCCCGCCGGTGAAGCGAAAAATACAAAGTTCTTAACCTTGCTCTGATACCATGTAGAAAATGCAATGTATAAAAAGAAATAGAGAAATGTATTATTGATTGATGTATTGTAAAACATGACACGTGTCCGTGTTGTAGTGGCCATGAACCTAAGCACTGCGCGCTTGTAAAAATACACATTTTCATTGAGTTTAATAACTAAACTATCTGTTTTTCCATTGATTTTACTTAACAAAAATATACAAATGGTTCAGATTGAAAACAAATCATAAGATCCAAGCATCGCCTTTTGCCTACGTAATTCCATAAGTCATTCTTCCTGAGACACAACACAAGTATTGCCAGTGGTGCATTTTATCATTCTGTACGATAATTGATGCTAAATTATTGGTATTTTTTTAAGTAAAATTCATTCAACAAAAAAGTGTCAAAAGAACGCAAACCCTGTATGAATGGTCCTATACTGAAGTTCTTGTTTATGCTCATTTGGTCAGAGAAAAAGCATTAAGGTCAAGATTAATTTGTTTACGGGAGAGTGTAAAATCCAGTTTATAGATATCCATGAGCTACTTATGCTAATTTCTTGCAGTGGAGGAAACAAAGATCTGTCAAAATATTGGATATGAAAATCATTGTTATTGTCACTTTTGAAACTAGCTTTCTTTATCCAGCAATATCAAAAATTCTTTTTGAATGTTTTATTATTTCAATTAAGAAATTACTTTTTTCATTTATACATCATTCACTTATTTGTTGTTTCAGATTGTAAGATTTCAAGATAAAGAGTCTCATCAGATTTTTCTTGAACCAGAAGGTCGGAATGTGCCTGAGCTCTATGTGCAGGTGCAATATAACTAGCTTTTCCTTGCTCTTTTTATTTTTTTGATAAGCCACTAAAAGTGCCTTGAAATGTGTGAAGCGTCCCTTTATTTTGGAAGATAATATATATATATATATATAAACAGCAAATAATACAAGGGATGTACCCCAAGCAAGAAGAAACAATGATGGGGGCAATCTAACACAAGGAAGACGGGAACTATCCAAACAAGCTCAATGTGAAACAAAAGAAATAGAGAAAACTAAACAACCAAACATAAAAGACAATCTAAGCACCTGCAGGAGCTGGCCACTCGTGTTTGAGGACTCAGATGATGATTAAATATTCTTTGGAAGGAAAATGTCGTTTGGAAGACCACACTCGCGTTGGAGCCATCCATTAGACTGATTTGTTGCAATGCCTTTAAGAGTACACAACCGACCTCTGGCATTATTCATGATCTTAGAAATAGTAATGATATCTCTATAATCATTTTAGTAGAACCTAGCATTCCTCCATATAATGTAAATTGAATTCCCTAACATGCAGTGGCAAACCAAGCTGCTCAAGGATTTACCTCTGATATGATCAGCTTCCCAAAAGATCACGCCCTTCCATTCCACAGAAGTCCACTGAATATAAGTTATCCTAGAAAAACATGCACGTAATCTTCCAGTGAAAGCACATTCGAAAAATAATTGTTTATGGTCCTCAAACATTTGCTCTACAAAAAACACAGCTGATAGAGGAAATGGATCCATAATCTAATAAATTGTCCTGTGCTCAAGTGATTCTGGATATCCAGCCACAAGATAAAACAGTGCCTAGGGACATGCTTAGCAAACCCCACCAGTTTATGCCACCTAACCACAGGTTTGACAGTGTCAAGGATTTTCACATTCTGCAATTGTGGTAACCCATCCAGACAACATGACCAGCCTTGTAACGACAAAGATTCAAATCCAGAGCCATCTCTCTTTTCAGTTTCATAGCTCTACGTAGTTTTATTAGCTCCACAGAGTTTGAACTAATGAAAATACATATCAGCCTGAGGACCTCAAAATGTCACTCCACCTCCTAAACACTACCGAGCCACAACATCAAACATTAAACAAGCATGAGGATCCAATCTCTTTAAATGGTTCTTTCATCATCAGGACAATCACCAAACTAATCAGAAAAAATAATCACCGACAGTTCTATTTTTGTTTACTCGACACACTAACGCGGCCTATTATTGTCACACTGCATACAAGAAAATCGATAATTTTCTTATGCTTCTTCATGGCATTCTACCTTTAGCTGATTTCCTTGACATCCTTGCAGGGGTTTTCAACTGGTTTGCCTGAGAGACTTCAGTTACCACTCTTGAGAACATTACCTGGACTCGAAAACTGTTCAATGCTGAGGCCTGCTTATGCCGTGGAGTACGACTTCTTCCCTGCTCATCAGTGCTCTAGGTCACTTATGACAAAGAAAATTGATGGACTTTTCTTCTCTGGTCAAATAAATGGAACAACCGGCTACGAAGAGGCTGCTGCACAGGTTTTATATTTTAAGAGCCTCCTGTATTCTGCCTTTTATCCTGTTAAGTTATTGACCTAGATTTCTCTATATGAAGAGAATATTATTTGGTGGCTTATTCATGCATCTAAAAGGCCTTTGCTCATTTTTTGTCGTCTCTGATACAGGGAATTATATCTGGAATTAATGCTGCAAAGCACTCAGAAAGTAAGCCCCTCATTGTTCTTGAGAGGGAAAGCAGTTATATAGGGACTTTGATTGATGATCTGGTCACCAAAGACCTGCGAGAGCCTTACCGCATGTTAACAAGGTAGTGTGGAGCAAAATATTACCATCATGAGTGATTGATATGAGGGGCTTCTTTTTAGTTATTATTATGTTAGTCTGATGTTGATATAGCAGATGTTGGGCTTGTTTGGTTTGTTTTTGGGAGAGTTGTTTTTGAAAAAAAATTTGGGGAGAGAGTTTAGAAATTTTTTTGGTTTGTTTGGTTGTATATTTTGGGAGAAAAATTTTTTTTGGGAGTTTGGGATGATTTGATATTATGTTGTAATTGAGTAGATGTGTGTGAGAGAAAAAGTGATTGAGAATAAGAGAGAAGAGAAAAAAAGTGATTGATTGATGTGTAAGAGAGAGAAATTGATTTTGGAAATTTTTTGAGAAAAATGTCAAACCAAACAATTTTTTAGAAATTTTTTTCTAAAACTCATCTCCAAAACTCAAACCAAGCATACCCGTTATTTCTTGAGAAGAAAAATTGAAGAATAGTCATGCATAGAAAAATGTTATATAAAGAATTGAGTTTATATTTGTAATATAATGGAAAACAGGGTCCCTAGACAAGTCGTTTGCAACTTGCATCTAGATTTATAGAATGAATTTTTTCTCCTGATTCTGCAAAATATTTATTCCATTCACCATTTTCAGTATTATACTCCTGGTTGAGATACTGTAAATTTGTAATTTTTGTTCCTGAACTGACACTTATATGCCAGCACCATGTTGTGCAAGACATGCAAAACCAGGGAATGACAGATTGCCTGTGCTACTATTTTTTTCTTTCTTTCTTCACATTGAACAGCTTTATGTTTACGGAAAATTGCATCACTTCCAATTATGAATATTTCAAAGAAAAATCTAAAGTATTGTTTTGGATTTACGCTGTAAAGAAAAATCAGAATGTCATCTTTGTATGTTATGTTTAGGGTTCACAAATTATGATGCTTGATTGAAGCAAAACGCAGAGAAAGGGAGGGGTTATTGTTGCTTCTGATTGCAAGTTGTGCCTTACCTTATTTTTTTTTACCCAGTCAGACCCTTAATTTTGTAGAAAATTAACAAATCAAATACTTTAATTAAACACAATGAGTTTGTTTCGAACTGATTAAATAAGTTTATCTTGAGATATTATCAATTATAGGAATGCCAAATTCCTAAAATTTGTTTTGTACTTCCAAGATTATTTACCCAAAAACATTTGAGGTCTCCATGGAAATAGAGTGATTCCAGGCTGTTTCCTGTAGCAAATAAAGTGGCATATCCATTCCTTTGGAGCCGCTAAAGAAACAAGGCCATGATAGTTTAAAGTTGATATGTGATCAAGTTTGTGCATTACTTGCTAAGTTGCTACTTCCAGGTTCATTTTGTGGCACTTTGGAAGGTGTGGAACAGTGAACCTTTTTTTTGTCTTACAAATTCAGTTACAGTTGTGACCGCTATAAACTTCTGATGCATTGGTGTGCTATTCTAGTATGTCTACCAAACAACTTGTATTATTCCTGCCAAACCCCCAAGATTCTCTTTATGGCTATGCTCTAGATAGTTTCACACTTCGAAAGTTCTGAGGGTAGTGACTGACCCTCTGTAGGGCCATTTATTCATTTTCGTATGTTTGTTTTAATATTTGATTAATGGCCTGTCTTAATTGTTGTTTTTCCTCTGTTAGCCGCTCAGAACACCGTTTACTGCTACGATCTGACAATGCTGACAGCCGTCTCACTCCTCTGGGCCATGAAATTGGTTTGATAGATGATAGACGCTGGAAAATATATCAGGATAAGCAAGCCCTAATTTCAGAGGAAAAGAAGCGATTAAAAACTGTCAGGATTTCAGGTTGGTACTGCTACCTGTTTAATAATGCTGGCTGAAGGGAAAACTCAAAAATAACCATCACATCATTTATGAAAGTTGTGTGTCTGTACAAGTATAGGCTGAGCCGTTTATGTGGAGACCAAATGTACTGTTTAAATATGCCAATCTATGTTGATATGGATGCTTCAAGATGTGTTTTAAGTGTTTCAGACATGGAAGTGAAATCCATATGGTTGCAGAACATTAGTTCTGCTTCTGGTTGTCAGATGTTTGCCTTACTAGCATGTGCACGAAAAGAAGGAAAGCATTCATTATTAGTTTGAAGCTCTTCTATGAATTGGAGGTTAAGCATCTAAGAAACTCATCTATGTATTCCATGTGAAATTAGATGCTTGTCCCTTGATTTGGGCCTTTACTTTTTCAATTGACAAGTATTGAACTTTGCACCGGGTGTTGGCTTGGGAATTTTGTTTCTCACATACCTGTATATTAGGCAAGCAAGTTAAAACTTTAGAACCAAAAATAGACTTGGAGTTGTTTAATTTTAGAGGTATTGATTATTGATACCCAACTTGCGATTTGGTGCTCACTTCCAGGTGGAGATTTGGCTGCTGATGTTACTCGTTTGTCTTCTCAACCAGTGAAGGACTCCTCGACGCTGGAAAGTCTTCTTAAGAAACCTCACATACCCTATAAAATTCTTGACAAGCATGGTTTTGGAAATAAACTTCTAACTAGAATGGAGAAAGAATGCGTGGAGATTGATATCAAGTACGAGGGCTTCATTTTGCGCCAGCAGAGCCAACTGCAGCAGGTTTGCAATCAATGGTAGTAGATTGTTGCATTTCATTTACCATTTGTAAGTTATTATGTCCAGACATGGACCTGGTTAAACATGTCAGAGTTTTGCTTTTTGAACATGTATCACTGTCGACTCAATACTATCATGGATCATAGCAATCAGTCTGTGTTCGGAGTGATATAAATTATGCTGACATATATGGTTTACGTTATTGAGCATGTTTTACATATATGCTTATCACATTGTCCATTCATTTCCCTGTCTACTTGTAGATGGTTCACCAGCAACATAGGCCTCTTCCTGAGGACTTGAATTACTATTCAATGACAACTTTGTCCCTTGAAGCACGTGAAAAACTGTCAAAGGTACTTTTAATCATATATATGCTTTGAAATAATCTATAGGAAAATTTCAGGTTTTTTCTTTTTTGTTTTTTCTTTTTTTTTTCCCGGTGGCATTTAAAGGAATTAATTGAAGAATTTGTATGACATGGACGTTCTGTAGGAGAGTGAAAATATCTGAAATTTTATCTGGATACAGATGCAAGGTGTCATCACCATCACTTAACCTTGATTTTTATGTTTTCATATTTTTGAGTGTGTGCTACCACAATCATTTGGCCAATGCATCTGGATGGTTATATGTAACTTTTGCTCATTTTATTTATAATAAAGATCTGATAATATAAACTGTTATTTATATCTGTAATGAGTGAAACACTTCTATATTGCTAGACCATGGCTAGCCCTATGCTCTGTTGCTTTTTTGCTTGATTTCAAAGTGCTTTGTGCTGTCATACAAGATTTCTGGAAATTTAACTCTTCAAACATATTGCTCCAGGGGAAACATCAATTTTGTGTATAATAAACCAAGTTGTACAAAGGCCCAAACCCTAGGCAAATGTTGACATTTCATTTTGATGCATGTTTCTTCTGGAAGATGCATTGGCAAATTGTCTTGGTTCAGTTCATTTGGAAATTCTTAATTCTGTAGCATTTATTTCATTTCTAAAATTGCATTTGCTGCTTCTGAAAAATATGGTCAGCACAAACCCTAGGCCGTCACCTAAGGCCCTATTTTTTTTTCTTCAAAAGGCCTTGAATCTTTAAGTTACTTGCTAAACGTCCGGCCAAAAAAATTGACTTGACTTGTCCAAAGTCCCCAATAGTAAAGCCTGGTAAAAATCCTTGCACAAAGGCTCTCGATAGTAAAGGGCTTAAAAAAATTTCTTTTTGTCCAAAGGCCTAGTTGCAAATAAATTTCTTGAATTTTTTAAGAGTTTAACAGAAGACGGAAGAAGCTTAAGAGTTTGCTGGCCTAGTAACTAGTACTAGAAGCTACCCTCTTTGACTTTTCTTTTTTTTTTTTATTTTTTTTTCTTCAAAAGGCCTTGAATCTTTAAGTTACTTGCTAAACGTCCGGCCAAAAAAATTGACTTGACATTTTAACAGTCCCCAATAGTAAAGCCTGGTAAAAATCCTTGCACAAAGGCTCTCGATAGTAAAGGGCTTAAAAAATTTTCTTTTTGTCCAAAGGTCTAGTTGCAAATAAATTTCTTGAATTTTTTAAGAGTTTAACAGAAGACGGAAGAAGCTTAAGAGTTTGCTGGCCTAGTAACTAGTACTAGAAGCTACCCTCTTTGACTTTTCTTTTTTTTTTTTTTGGTGAAGCTTGATGATTAAGAAATCTCTGAAGGCATGGTTTTGCTCAGTTATGCATTGAATTCTCTTTCTTTCAGATCAGGCCACAAACCATTGGTCAAGCAAGCAGAGTTGGCGGTGTTAGCCCGGCTGATATTACTGCTCTCCTCATCGTCTTGGAATCCAACCGAAGGAAAGCCCTGGAAGAGAGGAAAAAACAAATGTTGGCTTCTGTCTTGACAGATACGAGCCAACAGGTGTCTGAAGTTCCTCTTTCGTAGACATCATACTCGTAAAATCTGATTTTGATGCCTTATTCATCAGGTTAGTAGCCATTCTGCTGCCAATTCTTTTGGTTACACCCTAAGAAGCTCGGGCATGGGTATGGGTACGGGTATGTTTCCAGACACAGGACACATCAATTCTCAAAAAAAATATAATTTTTATATATTTTTATTTACTATGTATATGAATATAAATTTAAGATACATGGATATGAGAAGCATCAATGTATATGCATGTATTATTTATGAGTGTATTTTTATTTTTCTACTTTTTCCCTCTTTATTCCCTTATATTTACTTTGACCTGAAATAAGTTCTAAATTTTTTATTTTATAAAAAAACTTACAAAGGTATCTTGAGGCGTGTCCAAACACAGGACATGTGTCCATGATGCGTTCCTTCTAAAAAATAATAATTAAAAAAATTGACACACCACGTGGCATGTTAGACAGGTGGACACGCATCCAGGCCATGTTAGTGTGTCTTAGGTTTCACCGCTTGTGATATTTTTAGTTTTGATGTGAGTTCTTTCTAGCAATCATTTTCATAAACAGGTTCAAAAGAATCAAACTAGACCAAAACTCTGCCAGAACATCAAGCCTAATCCCATCACAATGAAGCTGACTTGGTCATAAACTGCAAGGAACTTCTCTTTTATGCTGCTGCCAATCCAGGAAACGTTGGATTGGTGCAGAGAATTGATTTACAACAAAGAAATCAAATGCTGATGAAGTGTCAAGCTAAAATGTTAGCATACAATCAACTGACCTGGACTATATATCATGTCTTAGACTTGCTGTCATGTAATTTTATTTGTATAGATGCTGTAATTATGTTTAACATAGGTCTCAAAGTGATCAATCATTGATGCCTTCTTTTTAACCAGGCCAATAGTGGATGTCTTATTTATTTTTGACCAAGATCTGTTTGGTCTGAACTTGTTAACTTAATTCCATTTTTTAAAGCATTATATTGTCATCGCACCGGTATGAGATTGAGTTTTGTGAAGCTGTTGTGGGATTACAAGATGAAGAGTCAATGGTGTCTTTGATGGGAACAGAGAGTGGAGAGAGAATGTGGAAAACAATAGAAGAAAGTTGGAGATTATTTTAATTTAAAAAGAAATTATAAAGATTAATATCTAAAAGAAATAGGGAAAAAAATAGTAGGGCTGAGCAAGGTTCCAATTTTTTAGGAACCGTAAATAACGGATTGGTCCTGGTTTTATCCCAATCCGGTCCAATCCGGACCATGCCCACCCCTAAAAAATAGAGTATTTTATTGTAGACTATATTTGAAAAGTAGTTTTATAAAACATGATAGTGTTGTTGGAGATGCTCTGAGGATTGCAGTGATTATGGGTGGCAATGGGGAAGTTTTATTTCTACACATTTAATTATTTGATGTACATATTTAATGAAATATTATTTTAATAAAAATTATATCTTAAACTAAAATGAGTATGATGGACATCAACCAACACCTATAATATTATATGAAAATAATTTTTGTACACATTTTTTAAAAACAAAAAAATCTCAATGTACACATTTTGAGTAAAAAAAAATTGAATCTTAATATTTTCATTATTGTCACCTTATTTGTTACACACTTTATACTCTTTTATTGATATTTCTTTAATCTCTAGATTTATACTCTATTAATGATGAAAATGCTAATTTTTTTGTGAAGAATTACTTTTTTGCCCTTTTGGCAGTTTTTACTCGAATAACCAGTACCGTATTATTTCTTTATATTTGGATATTAGCAGTTGAATTATTTCATTATATTCAGATATCAACTATTTATTTTTTTCAGAACAAATTTGTTGAACTAACTATTTCTATTCGGAAGTTAAGTTTTAAATTATAATTTCTAATTTTAGAAAATCAATGCCGAAATTCCCAAACCAAAAAACATTATAAAAAATAAAAACTAGGGTTTTATGGCAATGATGTGCACATAGATCTGAAAATGGTAAATGCAATAACAAAATAAAAAGATACTTCATATTCAACAATATTTTAAAGGGTTTTTAATGGTGTTTTCAATGGAAGTTCAATAAGGTCTTCAAAGGAGGATTTTGTCTTTATTTCACTTCACTTTGAATGGTCTTCACGTAGGTTTATAATGAGTCTACAAATCTGAAAGTAGGCTCACTCAATAAGTGTGTGAAAAGGAAGATTGAGTGATGTGTACAATAGTTATTAGTGAAGGGTATAATTGTAAATTTTAGTGTGTAAATTGAAAAAATTAATTAATAATCAAATTAATAAATTTGTATACTAAGAAAAGATATGTATTAAAATAATTAAATGCGTGGAAATATAATTTCCTGTGGCAATGGAGTGTGGGTGAGGGTGTAGGTGTAGGTGTGGGTGTAGTGTAGTGGTGGAGGTGAGACAACCATACCACTAGGCCATTAATAAACTTTTACCCAAACTTATGTTCAAATATTTGTCCATTGAAATAATTCATATCACACAAAGGTTTTGCTTAAATTTATGCAAAATTTGAATAATGTTTGAAAATGACCAATTGACTTTCTACTTATTGAATTGATTAAGGTTAATTTTCAATGGTTAGTTTTACTCTCTTTTTATGAATTCGTGTATATTGACTTCTTTAATTATAAAAATTGTATAAATACATTATTTCTTAGGGGTTTTTTTTTTATAGTCCCTGGTATTAAAACTTGATAGTATAAAGGACATCTAATACTTTCATAATATCTAAGGTCCTTCAATTTGATCCAGAGAAATTCTATCCAGAGAAATTTCAACCCAGAGAAATTTCAAATGGTTTGTTCAATTTTTTTGATTTTTTATGTTTGAAATTTCTCTAGGGTTAAATTTTCTCACAAATAACTCTGTGATTTACTGCTTTGCTTGCCTTCACTCTTGGTGTCAAGCAAATTATGGAAATTTCTCTGGCCTTTTCCAGAGAAATTCTCTCCAGAGAAATTTTTGAATTTCTCTAGATGAGAATTTCTCTAGAGAGAATGAGAGATGAAATTGAACAACATCAATACTGCTCTCCTTCTCAACAAGAGAGTTTCAAAATTTGATTTCACAAACATTGGGTTTTATACAAATTAAGCATTCCAAGTTCCAGCTCGAAACCAAAGAATTTCTCTTGACCAACCCAGAGAAAATTCAGTTCAAAAACCAGAGAATTTCTCTGGTTTCAACCCAGAGAAAATTCAGTTTAGGTAATCGTGATTTACCATTTCTTTCTGATAATGGATCATCTAAATTAGCTTTGCGGTAGGAAATTATAAGATTCTGATCACTTGTGATATATATGTTGTTTGTGTTGCAATCAGGATGCCACAAGGGGTGATCCTCAAATGAAGTTACGAGCTCCTCACAGAAGTTCCAAACAGCCACCATCCTGTTTCTGAAAGTCAGGAACAACTAGTTCTCATATAGAAATATAAATGCAGATGGAGTCATAAATTCAGTTCAGCTAACTTTTGTAAGTTCAGAATTGCGAACCTGCAAATAACAAATATCAGATATTAAATGTAGATTAAAACAAATTATTTCAAAACCACAAGAAAGATCCTTACATCAAGAATCTGAAGATTCTCACTTTCTTGCTTGACGAGAAGTTTCTCGTTGAACTGTTCAATGAAATCCACCTTCTTATTCTGATGAAAGAGATTTTTAAAGTTTTGAGAACTGTACCATCCTTTATTGAAAGAATCTTAAGAGGAACATGGCCACTAGCTTTGGTAAAAATCAACAACATGATACCTGGACTGTTTTTCAAAAACCAAAGAAAAAATAGGTAAGCTACATATGCATGATACAATACCACAAACACTTGTCGTCTACACTGTTTAGGTGTTTGACAAAGAAAGTTGAGGTTTGTGCCATACATAAACCGAATGTCAACGAAGTTAGCCATATGGGAATGATGTTTATGACCAGCTTCGTTATATTCAACACTTGATATATATATGTGCTGACATTGTATATATATATGTATGTATCATACATACATATATATATATATATATATACATTTATCAACAATGAAAAGATAGAACAAACTATAGAACCAGAGGGTGTTGCTTCAGCAAAGTCAGCGAAGATCAACCTCGAATCGGTGATCGCGAACGTTCAATCGACTCCTCTGCTTCCATTCACGACTCGGCTAATGTGTTTCTCGCCATCGTCTACTTCGAATTCATCAGAGATCGCTACTGATGAAACGCTAAACCCGAATTCGATCTCTGAGGACGAAGAGTTCGTTGTGAAGCTCAAGAGTCTAGAGCTCTGAGAAAGCTCACAAGGATGAAGGAAGAAGCTAGGGTTTGGGGTTGATGTAGAAGAGAGAGAGAGAGAGAGAGAGAGAGAGAGAGAGACCAAACTCAGTTTTTTAAGCCCCTTCGTTTCTTCTTAAATTTCTCCGCGATATATAAGTTTGGGGTTGAAGGACTTTAGACATTATAAAATAATATTGTGAATCTCTTCCATTATTAAAAGTGGGAGAGGGACCTTAGACTAATTTTTCCTATTTCTTAAAGTAGTTTAGAGGGACGAAAGTAATATATTCTTATAGTTAAAATAAGTCACAATGTATGAATTCATAAATGAGAAAGATAAAGTGACACTTGCAAATAATTGAGAGGTGTTATTATAATTGATCCAATGAAATTAAAATCAAATTACAGAAAATCTTGACAATATACCTTTTTAGTAAAAAAGTAAAAAAAAATATTGCAAAAAAATCAATTATTATTTCAAATTTTTTACATGTTTTCTTGTATAAAGTTTTTTTTAAAAAAAAAAAAAACTTTTAATAGACAATTCATAAAATAACTCTAAAAATTGTCAAAATTTGTAGGTGTTTGTGAAAATTCCAGAAAAAAATATATTTTATTGATAAATAATGCAAACAAAAAGAGATACAAATAGATCAGGCCTAGGCACGGATATCTCGTTTTCTTTAAGGAGATCAAGCCTATTGCAGTAAGAAGAACCCAAATACCGATGCAGCAATCACAAAACTATGACTTGTCCCCTCCAGGATACAACAGCCCGACCACTTGTCGTATGATTTAGGCCAACTCTGCACAAGATGGTGAACCCAAAGCTCCACCAAGAAAAACACCCTTCTTTGCTAGTAATCTCTCTTGTATAGAAAATAGTTTGTGTGTTGGTGTAGAAAAGAGTAGAAGAGAATAACTATTTATGGGCCACTAGGACATTACAAAATACACCAAAAAATAATAATGACCATGAACTTAGGGACAAGGGAGAATCTCCAAATAAATAACTCACCACCAAGTCCACGAACCTAATTAATTTTCATTCATGAACAAGACAAAATACTTTGAATTCATCAGAGATCGCTGCTGATGAAACGCTAAACCCGAATTCGATCTCTGAGGACGAAGAGTTCGTTGTGAAGCTCAAGAGTCTGGAGCTCTGAGAAAGCTCACAAGGATGAAGGAAGAAGCTAGGGTTTGGGGTTGATGTAGAAGAGAGAGAGAGAGAGAGAAAGAGAGAGAACAAAGAGGGAGAAGAGAGAGACCAAACTCAGTTTTTTAAGCCCCTTCGTTTCTTCTTAAATTTCTCCGTGATATATAAGTTTGGGGTTGAAGGACTTTAGACATCATAAAATAATATTGTGAATCTCTTCCATTATTAAAAGTGGGAGAGGGACCTTAGACTAATTTTTCCTATTTCTTAAAGTAGTTTAGAGGGACGAAAGTAATATATTCTTATAGTTAAAATGAGTCACAATGTATGAATTCATAAATGAGAAAGATAAAGTGACAACTTGCAAATAATTGAGAGGTGTTATTATAATTGATCCAATGAAATTAAAATCAAATTACGGAAAATCTTGACAATATACCTTTTTATTAAAAAAGTAAAAAAAAAATATTTCAAAAAAATCAATTATTATTTCAAATTTTTTACATGTTTTCTCGTATAAAGTTAAAAAAAAAAAAAAAAAACTTTTAATAGA